CCCGCGACGTCGCCGAAGCCGTCGTGGAAGTAGATCTGGCCCGGCTCCCGCACCAAGAGCGGCCGCGCGTTGTAGGGCCGCAGGAGGCTCGGCAGCGTCTCCGCGTCGGGCACGCCGCAGAAGAGCTTGAAGCGGCTCCGCGTCTCGCCGACGGCGTCGCGGGCCTCGCGGCGCGCGTCGCGGCAGAACGTCGCCCAGAGCCGGAGCGCGGGGTCCTCGATGGCGTTCACGGCGAGCTTCAGGTTGAGCTGGCCGTAGCCGTGCTTCGGCGCCGTGCGCGCGAGCTCCGCGTGGGCCCAGGCGCTGAGCTCGCAGGTCACGCAGAGCTGGTGGCACGCGCCGTCGTCGTCGTCGCCCTTAAGCGCCGGGACGATGACGTTCAGGACGAGGATCGACGGCACGAGGCCCTCGAGCGGCGACTTGCGGCCCGGCTTCGGCGGCCGCAGGGCGTGCTTGACGACGTCGACCTCCTTCTTCGCGGGGGACGTCACGACATCGACGTGGACGACGTCGTAGACGGCCGCCGCGGACGGCTTCTTGAGCTCCAATAATTTCGTCATGATCGTCTCGTTGCGCCCCACGGGCGGCGCGTCGTAGCCCCTCTGGCGCACGTTGAAGAGGCCCGCGGCGCCCGCGTCGCACCACGTGCCCGACTCCGGCGGCGCCGTAAAGGGCCGCTTCGGTAAGTTGGTGAACCCGCAGCGGTCGCGGCCGTCGAACTCGGGTTCGGCCGTGTTGAGCACCTGGGCAGCAAAAGGGTGATTCAACGTCGCTTCAACGTGAGTGTTCCGCGCGCGCGCGTTCCGGAAAAAGCATCCACGCTTCGAGGCCGTTCCGAAAGATGATCGCTCGTCCAAAAATCAGCCGAAACGAGTGGAAAACGGCCGAGATATGAGCCTTTGAAGTTGGGAATTTCGCTCTCTTTTGCTGCCGTGTGGAGCACGTGGAGCTCCTCGTCGTCGTGGACGACGGGCGTCTCGGGCGTCTTATGTTCTTCGACGACCCAGGCGCCCGTGTGCTTCTGCTGGACGCTGAAGGCGTTGTGCACGCCCGTCGCGCGCGCGAGCGACTTGCGGACGCCGCGCGCGACGCCGGACTTCCGCGCGTCGCCGTCGGAGTTGCGGCGCGGCACGCCCGCCGACGGCTCCCTGCCGTCGTTGACGACCCAGGAGGCGTCGACGTCCTTCTGCTGGCTCGAGAAGGCGTTGTGGAGGCCCGTGGCGCGGGCGACGGACTTGCGCACGGCGCGCGCCGGCGACGCGAGCGTCGCCGGCGCCGGCGCCGGCGTCGGACCCTCCTCGATGACCCAGCTGCTGTCGACGTCCTTCTGCTGCGCGCTAAACGCGTTGTGCACGCCCGTCGCGCGCGCGATGGACTTGCGCACGCCGCGGAAGCCCGACATACCTCGCCAGATGATGATTTTTTCGGGGCTGCTTCGCGACCTCAATACTCTTCAATGTCGCCAAGGTGTAGTTCCGCCCGCGGCGAGTAT